GAACAGACCGCAGCATCTCTCTTTCCTTTTTTAGTGTGCATGTGTATCATATAAGGAATCAAGTCACACTTCACATCCTGAAGTTTGACCATTCAACTATTTGAAACTGTGGCCTTGACCAAATAACTGCTCTCTGGTCTGGGCCCCTCTGTCGCGTTGAACTGGGTTTCTATTGACTTTTGTTCCTAAATGCAGCACATAATATAATAAAAGCAGTAAGGCAAATTTCAGATGTACATGTTCAAATAAATTATAAATAGTTTCCATAAAAATATCATGTTAAGTTAGCTAAGCATGTAACGATTACAACAATGAATCATTACTGATTTTGGGTCAATTCAACAATTGGACAGTGAATCACTGAAACTGGCTATTAGTGTTTCATATAACAGAGCCTTGTGTATTTTGGAGTCATTTTGGCTCAGCAGAAAGATAGTTGCTTCCCCTTTCCAGATGTAAGACAGTGCAAAGGAAATGTTAAGGAAAAAGTGGTTCAAATATTACTTCCAACAGTGTTTGCTGCAGTGTTTCATTTGGCACATGACAGATTACGTTAAAAATCCGGTCTCGAATAACACTGCTATTCATGCCCAGAGGAAATGCTATAAAATAATAAATGTGAGCCTCTGTGGTCTGGTCCGACTTGAGCCCCAACCAAGGATTAGTGCAAGAACAATCAGTCTGTTACAAATCTTAATTAATGTTTGTTTTTTTTATATGCCTGGCTTTATAGATATGACATTTAATTAAATGTCTTTGACAAATTTGATCTGAATTTATCTGCAAGTTTAAGCAGCACACCTTGACATCTGTTTGTTGTCACTGAAAAAAAGTTGTATTTTTTCCCAAAAAGTAATAATGGAGACAATACAAAATTGACAAAAATATTATGACATAGTCCTAATAAGTGCAAAACAGCAAAAGTGCAACCCAGTAGGCAATGCCGGCTCAAGAGAACATCTCCTATCCACTGTTAATGCACCTCTGATCTGAAGTGTGGCCAAATATAACAATAAATCATCTACAAATGTTATGTTATTATTGTGATCCAACTTGAGGACACATTCCAAATAAATCAGGCCAAAGACTGGAGTTACTCCAAAATCAGAACTAGTGTTTCACAACCTTTTTAAACCACAGCATTTTTCAATAAAACAATCCCACAGCGCACCACCAAACAGAAATGTCATGCAAAGTGTGTGTAATAAAATATAATAATTTTGATTGCATTGATGCATTGAATTTGATTGATTTAATTTCAGTGTACTTACAAGTCATCTAATCAGAGTTAACACTGGTTCTGTTGAGTTAAACACAACTGTGTTCTTCTTGGATCAACAGAAACATTATTTGCAGTAAATGAGTAATAGTTTCCAGAACAACAAAGTGAACTTGGATAATTTCCCACAATACACCTGATGATCTCTTTAGGTACAATGATGTGCTCTGGCACAGGGGTTGAGAATCACATCTGCATCTAGACAATGCAATTGAGCTGACTAGCATTCATACCTTGATTGCGTAGTTTAGTACTGAACCTTGTATGAAAAGAACTCAATATGATCAGTACCATGAACAGTCTGCCTGTCTTGGTCTGTGACATGTTTTTCCTGAAAGCTCCCTCTTCCTCGAGGGAGCTGCCAGGAAATGCTTGCTGAGCATTGCAGAGTTGCATGTGACACAGCTGCTGTCATCTTGTTGACATTTCTGTCGGCTGGACAGGAAATGATGCGGGTTAACTTTATGCAAGTTCCTGCTGCTCTTGCCACACGCTATATGATAGATGAGTGCCCCGTGAGGGCCTAATTGAAGTTATAGCTTCAGTGTGGTTTCATGCACTACACACACGCTGTCAAGTGAATTTAACATATAGGACTCTTTGTAATTTTATGGGTGAGGTTCCTTACAAGGCAATAAATCTGTATTAAATCTAGGATACTGTGGTTTCACAAACAGACCAGTAGTGTGTCCATTCAGAATTAACCCAGGAGAATTTTATGATTTTGTTGAATCTGACACTAATCTACTCGCCTACTTAGTGGGCTTGTCAAGTATAAAGTAACCAGATGCTGCTGTTGGAGGAATTCGTTTTCCAAATGGTCACGTATATGTGTTGTATAGGGATGTTGTAGCAGTGACATGTCTGCCGGTGTGCGTGATGTGGTAAAACAGTCTAAGGCCACAAGCTGGAGAACCATTCAGCCGCCAGAGAGGAAAGGGGAACTGAGCTGATACTGTGGGTCAGTGTGTGTCTGTTAGCAGAAGTCTGAAAGGCTTTAGGTTGCACCATCGCTTTGCTGGGGACCATCGTCATACATCCTGTCCAATCCTGCAGCAGACAGACGCCTCCCTCAGGGTGTGGGCCTTTGTTTGGAAACACGTTTGTTCGTCACTCAATGACTGTTGACGTAGCAGTTGTCTGTTCGGTGCCCTTGTCCTGTACCACTCCTGTGGCCTGGTTTTACAAAACATTCACAGATGGATGAAAACTAAGAAGGAGAGGATCACATGATGTTTGTTAGTTTGTAACTACAAATTAGGTTTGCAATTGTTACCACAGTTTTAAGGAAAATAAACTTTATAATAGCAGAAAAAGTGGATAATAAATTTGAAAGGTCAAACGTAGGTGATAAGGACTGTTAGAACTGAAAACCTGAATTTTATTTGTTAGGAGGATGTACGAAGAAAATTGTAATCAAATGAATTCAGAACAGTTGTTTTCAATGTAGAGCATCTAAAGATTCCAAAGTGATTACATTCATCTCTTTGTGTGCGTTTCTTATTCAGCTGTACACCTACGCAGATGAGTGCTGATGGAAAATAATTGCTGTACTGTTCAAAAGCTAGTGGAATGCCAGACATGTAAACATGCATGTCACCACAGTCCCACTGCGTGTTTTAGCTGACAGGAAGGAGGATGGAAACATTACAAATGACGTCACTTAATGAGTATTTAATAGTTGACAGATATAGATGATACCGTAATTACATATGAGTATTTGGTAGCTGTGAGATATAAATGATACTATCATTTCATACTGTGGTCAACTTTACTTTTCCTGACATGGTTCTGAGATGAAACCACATGTGCCATCTACCAGTCAAATATTAACTTTAGCAAAAGCTATTTTTGAAGAAGAAATGTATCATGTTGAAGAAAAATAATCATTCCCATTTGTTAATTGTATTCTTTGTTTTTTAATTGTACTCATACATCACCAGACATAAATGAATCAACTGTTTTTATGACTATAGTTGTTCCCTTGGTTTTATTGAATTTGCATCACATATAATCAGGCAGAATATAAAAAAAAAATCAAATTATATATTAGCAAGGAATGAGAACATCACATGCAGTAATATGCAATGTTACGTGCCAAGCTTGGTTCCTCCCAGAGTCTCCACTACCCAGATACGAGAAGTTGAGAAGTGTATCAGTAAAGACATTGAGATTAGATTTGCTCGGACAAGGTGCAGCTTGTTTCCTAAATGTGCAAATTACACTATATTATCTCACACCCTATTCCCGCTGCTACACACGCAAACGCACGCACAACCAACCACCCACTGTTTCTTTATCTATCTCGGATAAGAAATGTTATCCTCTATACTTGAATATTCAGAGGGGTTTTCTCACCCCCACCCCCCATTTTCCCACCCAAATGCCTCAGCCTCCCCCAATATTCCACCAGAGATCCTTGCACTTTGGAAAACACTGCATGATAATCAGAAGAAGTGGGGGAATCGATGGACTGCACTCCTTGGAAAGAATATGGTGGGATTATAAGGTAGTGATGGTGGTGTATAGGGGTGGGTAGGGGGTCATGAAGAAAGACTGCAAGAAGCTTAAATTGATGTGAGGCCACTGAAAATAAAGATAGAGGATCAAAACAAAAGAGAAGGGGTGGAGAGGAGAGTAGGGAGAAGGGAGGCAAATTGATTTGTCTGGGGGATGGTGGATGAGTCAGGAAAGAAAGAAAAATTATGCGTGGTAGAGACAATGTGAAAGAGTAAAAATTACATGGGGTAAAAACTGGCAACAAAAAAACTCACAAAAAGTGTATGTAATGAAATATAATATACTTATAGTTTAAATGACCTAATTGACTAAAATCTTGACCTGTTTAGTTGAAGACAATGCTGATATACTGACAGGAATTAAAGAAAAACACTCACAAAGATCTTCAGCAGCTCTGATTATCTTTTTAGTTTTCATAGCCATCTGCTGCCACCTAGCAGAAGAGTATTTAATTGTTCTGCCTTTCATGCTTTGACGAGCAAAGAAAAATTATATGCAATAAATAAATAATAGTTTTCAGCTTCAATTAAGTGAAACTGTATAATTTTCCACGACACACCTAATGATCTCTCACGGCACAGTGGTTGAGAATCACTGACATAAGGAATGTAACTATAGCACCTTTCAGCATGTGAAATCCTTGATGCTAGTTCCTCCTTTACAGTCTTAACAACAATTAACTGCATTGTAAAATTTTATATTTATAAGCTAATGCGATCAATCAAAACTGTTGCGTATTTAAAAATGTGAAAAAAATATTTGTTTCTACATTTTGCACTTTATTTTGCACTCATTCGTGTTTGAAAGTTTCTGTATCATAAAGCAGGTCACTACAGTAACCAGTGCTATTGGACCAAGGTTGTGAGGACGTCATAAATAACGAGGGTTGATTCGTAGCTTAGGTCGCTCCAGAATCAGAAGTTCTGTCGGCAGCAAATCACGTGTCTATCACTAGTGGCCTAATGGCCACACATGAATGTGAGGAATGCAGACTGAGGGGTTAGATGATAATACTCAGTGGCCTGGTTACTCATGTTTTTCACCTCTGGGTATGTGATGCCAGACATCATTGATTTGACTATAGGACCACCAGTGTCATATAGAGTGCAGAAAGTGACACATTTGCCATTTAAAGAAAAATCTTTAATCTGATAAATTAAAAAAAACATTTTGGTTATTCATGCTTTATCTCTCTCCACAGCACACCTCTCTGTCGGCCAGCCGCTCAGAGAAGGGTACCGGCTGGTCCAGCCGATCACTTGGTGCCAGATGTCGTAACTCCATTGCCTTGTGTTCAGATGAGCAGCCACACATTGGAAACTATCGGCTTCTCAGAACTATCGGCAAGGGTAACTTTGCCAAGGTGAAACTGGCAAGGCACATATTGACTGGCATAGAGGTGAGTAAACGTAACGGAAACATTTAATGGCAGAACTGAAACAGTGATTGTGGGGAAAAAGAAATGAATGATGATGATGATTGCTATTTGTGGATTTTAGACGTCTGTAAGACGACGCTAACAGCCCAGTCTTACTTGGTTTCAGAGAGACAGTTTGGTTATTATCTCCTATTTTAATACTCTGTAATCTTTACTCTACTAAGACCGTGACCTACATAAGCCAGGTTAATAACTTCATCAGTCACAGTACAAAAATGTATGATTCTCATTCTGGTTTAATCAAATGGGACCTGAACATTGTTCCCAAATGTACACTGTTCATCTCTCCTCTGTTCTAATAATGCTTTGTGTTTTGTTGTTTCACTTTACTAAAACAGTCCAAATTCAGGAAGATTTTGGAGATACTTATTCACTTTAATTGCAGAAATAATGGCAAATAAATACAAAATTACCCCCAAAAGTAACCCTTTGTAATTCAATATTACCTTAACAAATGAGAAAAGGGATGATTTCTGTGCATTTGTATTATTTATTCTGTTTTATTCTGTCTCATCAGGTTGCCATCAAGATAATTGATAAAACGCAACTTAATCCAACCAGTTTACAGAAGGTAGGTGTTTCTGTGTTTGTTATTTAGAGGTTCTGTTTACTTTTGTGAATGAAGTACTATTTACAAAAGACCAACCCTGTTAGTGTCCTTTAAAAAAAAAGTAACACGGCTTTTGTGCTCTGAGTTATTTAGCACACTATTATCTTCAAATGCTATTTTGGCTCAGATCACTTTCTGGTGCTACAGTCTGAACTTTGACCTTATGTTGGCTGTTCTGGACACAGTCACTGTAAGTGGGCTAAAAGAAAGTGTAATATGCATCACTGACAAGATATTATTGTTTGTGGAGCATAATCTTATAAAGTTTACATTGGTAAATGTGCAATTCCTGTTATTATGATGACGTGATGCATCATGTTTTCAAAGAAGTATCCCATTCTCCCAAGTGGCAAGATTCAAGGAAATGGTTTTGAGAGTAACATTGATTGATGGTATTGAGCTCATAATCAGGAGCCTCGATGACTTTCACAAATACTTTAGAACATTGTTTTTAGATTTTAAATCCTACAACTTCACCAGTGGTGATTATTGAGGTCCAGGAAGTATTTAAATCACATCTGTTTGTGTGTATGACATTTAAACCATCTGGCACCTGCAGAATTATTAGCACACACTTAAATCTTCTTTTCACGAAAGCAGATACAAACAGTGACAGAATGGGTTTGTTGCCAACAGACTGTGTATCTGTTTACAGGCTGAATCGATTAAAGTAGATAGTTTTATATTCCAGAACACACCTGGATATAACTTCTCACATTTTATAAAGGACATCCATTCAGTCACTGAACCCAGTCTGAAATTTATACCTACTTTACTGCAAACATTGTTTCGGTGCTGTTATCGTTGCAAGATAAACTATTGACACTGTTTAACAAAGGTGAAACTGTGTGTTAGTCATTGTGCTCTTTGTGGGAAACTGAGCTCTGCCTTTACCGAGTATAATCTGTAAGGTTCACTGGAAATCATGTCTGAATACGATATCTAAAGCTTTGCTGCCATAAAGTGTGTCTCTTTTTAACTTCACCCTAAATAATTTAAAATCATTTTCACGTACGATACATGTCGTTTGGCTGGTTACCTTAGTTTTGAACTGAGTGAAAATGATAGAATTTGCGTTTTGTTAAAGGTAAATTACTGAACTCAAGCTTTCCTGGATGCCAGTGTAATTACTTTATTACTACAGACAAAAAAAAAAACACTTGATTGCACATGCGTCTATCATAAAGGTTACTATCATAAATGGGTTTCACTCAGTCCCTTCAGTAGAGCATGTTTGCCACAAATTGTCTGTCTCTAACAGTGACATACAGAACCATCTGAGGTTTTTGTTGTGTCCCCTTTGATGTGTGTTCTAAGATAATCTGCCCGACGACACAGTTCCCTACAAGCATTATTCTGCGAGCAGAAGAATTTTGTATCTATCCATTCAAAAAGAAAAGCGTACATGTCGGTGTGAAGGACAGAGCTTAGGCCGCCGTATAATCCTATGAACTGTGTTTATCTCCCCCCTCACACGGGCCCCTGCACCCAGGAGCTGAATTCCAGACAAGCGAACAAAAGGGGTGGCTGAGTTGGTGTGGGTATCTGATGGGGGTCTTGCCCCATGGAGGGAGACAAGATAGAAGGAATAAAAGAGAGCTGCAGTGTGTTTCAGTGTGACAATACTCAAATAAATGGTAACAGGCGGATAAAGTCTTTTGAACGTATGTGTAATGCTATTATCCGCATTGCCTTTGTCCCCGTGAGTGTCTGTGGATAATCATACTATTCTATGCATTGTTGTGGTTCTGCCCAAAAGTAAAAGGAATAATAGAGTAATAAAGGGACAAGAGGGTAAAAAGGTTAGAGCAGAAGCTTTTCCCACAATGCCCTGGCCTCGTCTGACTCTGCACTTCATGTACTGTTCCATTTTTATCCGGCACAATACGCACACAACACTTATTTAAACTGGCTGAGTCAGGCTTTTGGTGATCTGGGCCAAGCTGCCAGCAAAACCATGCTGCCCCTCATTAATGATTTAGCTCATCTCATTGACAGGCTCCAATTACAGCTGTACATTAAGGAGATGGAGGGGCTGGACGATGCGTCCATACAGTATCAGTTTTATTAAATAATGTAGGCAGTGTTCCTAGCAACAGGCAACAAAAGGAGAAACCTGGCTCAAAAAGTCTGTTTGAATGTTTCCCAGCGACAAGCAAAGCAGCACAGACAGAGCCCTGAGTAATGATGTTCATTAGAGTCTCACATTGACTCAGGTTCATTACTCCTTGCTTTTACTCTGCTGGAGACAAGCATTAGTGAGCAAAAAATAGTTCATACTGTATCATGAAGTCCCTCAGATCCTTCACTGGACATTTGAAATGTCTCACAGAAATAATTATTATTTCAGGGGAAAAACAAATATATTTTCAGGTATAGATCTGAAATTTTAATTGATTATAATTGATTTTATTTAATTATTATTATTATTATTCAAAGCAGGTACATGAGTACACAGCTGTGTGTTACTGTAGGGCAGTTGGCCAGTTAATGACAAAAACATCAGAAGGCAAAAAAGAGTTTGTTTGTTTGTAGGACTTCCTCTGGATTTGCTGGAAAGGGAAAAAAAAGTTACCTAAACCGCAGTGGGTATGTACTGAAGGCAGTGTAATTGACAGAGTACAGGGTCATAAACAGAGGGTGTTCACATGACATGAGAGCAGAGAGAGGCCTGTGTGTTCATTCATCCTCTCATTCTATTCTATTCTATTCTATTCTAAATCCTCTCATTCTATTCTTCTTTGTTTTTCCCTCTTTCGTTTCTTTTTCTCCCAGAATGTCTCTGATCTTGTGATTCGCTGCAGCTGATAATTGTGCTTCATGTTGTCTAAAACACTGCTGTGTAGATGTAAGAGTTAGGAACTTGACTATGGGAATTTAGCTATCTGTTATCATTCCCTCATTTCTCTTTTTTTTTCTTCTTGCTGCTCTTTCTACGTCTGTGTGAGCAGACTTATGTGAGAAGGAGGATAGGGTCTGGATAAACAGGTCAAGGGTCAATAGCCTGGCAGACCAGACACATGAATCAAACCACCCTAGCACTTCTGTCAGTGTGGAAGAAAAGATGGAGACTGTCTGTATAAGATTTCTTTGTAAGAGCTTTTTTGTAGCAGTTGATAAGTCATTTCTTTTTCACAAACGTAGGCCTTCCTACAAATTCTCTTGAGTTGAATAATGCTGCGTAGAAGATGTTGGGCATTTTCCAAATTAAGTGTTTAAAAGAGGAAATGAAAATAGAACTAATGCAGGAAATACATTATTAGGAATGAAGATCACATATGCAGCAGGTCTCCTTCCTTCTTCCTCACTGACTGCCCTGTGATTGACTGCCTTGACCTCTAACCCCCCCACCCTTCAAATTCCTGGGTTGCAGAAAATCCAAGCCTTGTGATGACTACCTGGATTGGTACGATAATTGTAGTGCCAGACCATTGACGTCGTTTTTAGGAATTGAAAGTCATTTAGGAGAAGAAAAGGAAACATTTTTTTGTTTGCTCAGAGGACAAATGTTCCATTTAGGTAAAGTAGGCAACATCATAACCACAGCTTTAAATCAAAATGAACAGAGGTCTTATTGGACTGTTAATCAATACCAGTGTGACTCAACAATTTCCTGGCCAGCTGCTGAGGTTTCTGAGTGTCTGTTTTCAGCCATTATTCTATCCGAGTATTTACTTGACAGCTTCCTGCTGTTGTTCCACCGAGTGAGCAGTGGGCACAGTTAGGATGTGCACAGTTACTGGGCCACATTTGCAGCTGATATACAACACTGTGATCAAGTCCAGAACAGAGCGAGCGCAAAGGAGAGAGAGGAGGTGAATGGAGGTTAAGAAAAGAGGGGGTAAGACGGGGGAGAGGCTTAGGTGATAATTTTTCTTAGAGCAAAGACGAACAGCTGATGCCTTATGCACTTAATTCAATTACACACACTCCCAGTGGGCCAGTGAGTGTTTGTTTATGATGATTACTTCCTGTTTAAAAAACATGTGCTAGAGGAAGCAGCACACAGTTGAGAAATGAACACAAAATTCTCAAGGTCTTGTTTTAAACATGTCTTTATTATAATTTGGTAATCCACGATTCAGTGTTCCTGTGTCAGGATTACCACCACTACTACTTGTTTCTGTGTACTGTGCTTCTGTGGGTGAACTACACATGTATTTGTTACTTGGGGTCCGTTGCATACATGGAATCTCTCTGTGATGATATCTGTGAAAACATGCACTGAGTCCGGCCCACATGGCCTCCGGCAACTCTATTATGTCATCGGGGAAGTGTTGTTACTAGACTGTGAGAAAAGCTGTTTCCTTACACACTTCAATAAGTAGTACTCAGAGAAAGTACTGACAAAACTGCCAAAGGTTTTTCTAAGGTGTTTCCAAATAGAGTTGTCTGCGATACAGATTTGAAGTCTCAGATTTGAGCACTGATCAAAATAAATATGATCTGCAGTAGATATGTGTACACCCGGGTATAAGTTATGGAAAGAGATATATTTTAGGTTTCAGGTTGTGCTTGTTTGACGACATCATTTAATGAGATACACTGACATTGCCAGCAATGGAGGAGTAGTTTAGCCATCTTGTATGCAACACAGTGTTTAATGTGCATCTCTTTTCATCGTAATAAGACAGGATTGATTTCATCTAGATTTTCAGAAAATGTAGGTGTTGCCTGTCAAATACCCTTTACTCCCAGGGTCACGTGGTTATTGCTGCATTGTTAACTTTAATTTTCAGTTTTTGTTACGACAACAAACTTGTATCCTAGCACCTAAAGAAGTGTTTTCTCAACAGTAAGATGTCAAGTTTCACATAATAAAGATTGAAAGTTGGTGAGAAGGTCGAAGGCACCTACTGATCATGTTGTGGATAATTATTATAAACATTCTCTTATGTGTTATGTGGTGGGTTAGGAGTCAGTCGGGGAAGGAGCTGAATTGCAACTTGCAAATTTGCAACTGTGGAGATTATCACAAGATGTGATATCTGCCACTTCTCTCTGTCAGGGTAATGATGGAGTCACTACAAGGGATCGGTAGCACAGCTTCTGATCACCTGATAATAACTCTAGGCTTCATAAACAACAGTCTAAGTGTAACGAGAGCACAAGTGCTTCCTGGTACAATTTTTGAGCAATAAAACCTGCCCAGTTGGACCTTTGGGCGATGAACAATCACTTTTTATCTGCGCTATAATTTCCAAGTCACCTCATGTGATGAGGCAGTAGAAAATACGTCAATGTACAGTGAGTCTCTCTCTCTGTTCCTCTCTTTCTTTCTCACTCACATACACACACCCACACTTACTAAAAAGTCATATGTCTTTTCCAAGGTCAGTATAGACAGAAAAGCTTAGTAAACACTTACCAGAAACCAGCTGAGGCTTTGATAGACACAGGTGTGCGTGACTGTATGTTGCCTCCTAAATCCTAATCTTTACTACATCAACATATGTTATTTCTAAAATCCCAAGTTGACCATTTTCTTGGTTCCTTGTTTCTTTTTGCTGCTACAGCCTTTTAAAATGGACATTACAATTAGACAGCCAGACACCAACAGAGCTGCAGGATGAGGCAGCAGTCTGCAGCTCAGTGATGAATGGGTGGGGAGGATGGGAGAGCACCCAGGGGAGGAGGCTCTCCAGTCAGCCGAGCACCAATGTGTCACTCCCTTGGGTGGGCTCACGGTGGCTAAATAGATGAGTGTGATGAAGAAGATGTATGTGCGTGTCCGTGTACGCAAGATGGATGAAGGGGGAACGTGTCCATTCACCAGATGTGTACTATGTGAATTAACTAAAAAACCTCTTTGTGACAAATGACCAGATGAAGGTGGAAGAAACTATAGAACAATAGAGAGCTGCTGTAGACCTGTACGTTGTGTTGTATAGTGTGTACATTATTTGTGATCCCTATCATAATTACAACACATCTGCTGTTAACACAGGCATTTCCCAAATTAGGATCAATAAAGTTTTTTTTTGTTTTTTGTTTTTGTAATCTTCACACAGAGATTTCTTCTGTCTTTAACTGTTGATGTTTATTGGCCTAAATCATCTCTGTGCAGTGCTGAAGAAACAGTGGTTTAGTATTACAGTAACAGAATTCCATGTTCAGTACAAAGTGGTCAGCAATGAATGTCTGTGGTTCGTAAGATTAAGTTAATGTCCAACATTTTAATTGTAAAATTCTTTTCAGTAAAATATAATACAAATTATTGAATTATCATTCGATCGGTTAAATGTAATTCAAGTGACTAGTTATTGGAAGGATAACTATGTAATTAGTACTTTTGATATTGTTTAATTATTTATTGAGTTATAACAGCTTATTTCTGTTTTGTTAGCTGTTTCGGGAGGTACGCATCATGAAGACCCTCAAGCATCCCAACATAGGTGAGCACCACACGTACACGTTACTGTTATACTGTGTGTCATTGTGTGTGTGTGTGTGTCTCAGCGCTAACGTCTCTTCTCTTGTGTGATACAGTTCGGCTGTTTGAGGTCTAACGTCTCTCCTCCTGTGTGATACAGTTCGGCTGTTTGAGGTGATTGAGACGGAGAAGACGCTCTATTTGATAATGGAGTATGCCAGTGGAGGTGAGACACTTTCACATGACTCTCATTATCATTGCACACAGTGACACGGTGAGAGTACTGCCCTCTTGACTTTAACTAAACTGATGAAGGCGTAGGAACCATTGAGTTCACTGACCTTGTGTTTCATCATCATTGTTTCCTGGTGTCTTTTTCTTTAATCGCTCTCTGATGATCTCACTGTATCACGTGACCCGTGCAGATGAACCTCAGCCTTTTAGGACAATCAGAGTCAAAGACAATAATGTTTCTTATTGAAGAGATGACGCCAACGTCAGTTTAAACAAATTTCCTTCTAATACTGTTATCCTCGCAGGTGAAGTGTTTGACTACCTCGTGGCTCATGGCAGAATGAAGGAAAAGGAGGCCAGAGCTAAGTTCAGACAGGTAAGAGACCAAAGCTGACCTCACCTGTCCATATGTTCATCTGTCTGTTTATCCCTTTACAGCTGCCCTATTTACCTAATTGTTTAAGACGGTTAAACAGTAAACTTTAAATAGTTGAGCTCGTCTGTAGGCAGCAACATATGTGGTTGTAAACAGGAGAGTCTCGGCTGATTACAGAATGTGTTCATAGGGGTTATATTACATTACATTAATAATTCAACATGTGAAGTGAAAGTATGACCAGTTACAAGCCCAGAGTTTTATTTATCAATTTGATTCACATTAGTGTATGATTACATTTTGGGATTTCATCATCAATTGTCTTTTTTCTTTTTTCTTTGTCTCAGATTGTGTCGGCAGTTTACTACTGTCATCAGAGGAACATTGTTCACAGAGACTTGAAGGTAATTTCACGTTGTACTTTCACGTTGCATCAGTACATGTCTGACTCTGCATCTCTTGAATGGCAGTTAATTTTACGCATACGGTACTTTGCCTTCCACGTGTTTCACTGTGTCTCCTGTGTTTCCTGCAGGCAGAGAATCTGCTTCTAGATGCAAACTCCAACATCAAAATAGCCGACTTTGGCTTCAGTAACGAGTTCACTGCAGGCAGTAAACTGGACACTTTCTGTGGTTCCCCTCCATATGCTGCTCCTGAGCTGTTTCAGGGTAAGAAGTATGACGGCCCAGAGGTGGACATCTGGAGCCTGGGTGTCATCCTGTACACGCTGGTCAGTGGCTCGTTGCCCTTTGATGGACAGAACCTAAAGGTGTGTGTGATATACCGGCTGTGTTGGTTTGATATACTGTAATATAGTGATCCAATGGTTGATTCTCTAATAATGTGTAATGTGTGTTGTGTTCAGGAGCTGCGAGAGCGTGTTTTGAGAGGAAAATACCGGGTTCCCTTCTACATGTCCACAGACTGTGAGGGAATCCTGCGCCGCTTCCTGGTTCTTAACCCTTCCAAGCGCTGCTCACTTGAAGTAAGAAGAACACATTTCACCCCAATAACTCAACAATTAGATTGTATCTAATTGCAGGAAAGGGCATAATAATAATTTAATATTCTTTGTCCATTTTATTTCCCAGCAAATAATGAAAGATAAGTGGATAAATGTCGGCTATGACAGTGATGAGCTGAAACCACACACAGAACCTGATGAAGACTTAAATGACTCAAGTCGCATTGGTGAGAAATACATGTTTTGCTCCTAAAAATGAAACATAATAGTGTTAAAAAGAAAAAAAAAGGTTTTTAACTCTTCATTGTGTTTTGTGTGTTTTGCTTCAGATGTTATGGTTGGGAGTAATAGTGTTAAAAAGAAAAAAAAATGTTTTTAACTCTTCATTGTGTTTGTTTTACTTCAGATGTTATGGTTGGGATGGGCTTTACCAGAGATGAGATCAGAGATTCTTTAGCCAGTAAAAAATACAATGAAGTCACTGCCACGTACCTGCTGCTGGGACGGAAGAGTGAGGTGAGTACCAAGAATATGTTAGAATATTTGTTAGAAATTGGTAACATTTAATAACTCACAATGTCTGTATGCAACACAGACAAATGGCACAGAGTCTCGGACCGGCAGCAGTCTAAGTCTAGCTCGTGTTCGGTCCAGCGCCATCACCAATGGAAGCAGCAAACACTCCACGTCCTCTTCCTCCTCTGGTGCACCGTCATCCACCTCTGGCCACAAGGCACAGCGCAGCGCTTCAACATACCACCGCCAGAGACGGCATTCTGACTTTTGTAAGACAAATGACATCAGTTCCATGACACCTTGTGAAGTTCTGAATGAACGGTCATGTTTTAATAATCTGTCAATAAAAACCTGTTCCCCCTCAGGTGGTCCAGCAGTTCCAGGCTCAGCGTACCCCAAACGAAGTCCTAGTGGTGTAGCTGAAGGGACGGGACTCAAAGAGGAGCGACTGTCAACACGCAAGACAAGCACTAATACAGTTGGGTCCCGTAACCTCCCAACTCCCTCTAGTCCAATGGTTAGCTCCGCCCACAACCCAAATAAGTCGGAGATACCTGACCGCCGCAAAGAAGTTAGTTCAACCACAGTAAGTGTTTTTTTTGGTCTATGATTCAGTGAATCCATCACAGTGTATGAAGTAGCATTTAAACATAAATCCTCCTAATCCCACTTTTGTCAGATTATAGTCCACTGAGGTTACAATAACCCAGAGAATATTTAACCTAGCCTGCAAACACTATTTATCAAATATTACACCTTTGTGAAAAATGTAAAATAAAAAAAGTAGTAAGATGAGGGTTGACATGAATCTCCTGGTAAATTAAGTTTTTGAGTTAAGACTCAAATCAGATTAAAGAGGGTTTTATTTTCTGAATGTTGTATTTATGACGGGTTTTTAATTCACCACAACGCAAGAACAAAATGAATGTCTTTTATAAATCTGTAGCTTTCTTCATTTGTTAGTGTTACATACTGCCTAAAGTTAATATTGGTGCTCCAGTTCTTCAAGATAGGTCTGTTGAAGGTTCTCAACACTATCATCACCAATCTCTCTCTTTTCAGAATAATCTCCCTCCAAGTGCCATGACTCGAAGAAACACCTATGTCTGTACAGACAGGTCTAGCACTGACAGACACACACTGCTGCAAAATGGCAAAGAAAACAGGTGAGAGGAGCCGTCGTCTGTCTTTGTCTCCTTTACATCTCTATGTACGTACGATGCTGAAACCCCCACACACAGCTGCCGAGGCCAGGTCCATCTTTCACACTGCTGTCAGGGGGTGAATTTTTATCAGGTGGTGGAGATTTGAGACCATTATTTTTCCTAAGCTGATTCCCTTCACATGTCGTGTGATTTATAGCATTTCTTGTACAATTCTTTTTTCGTGGTAACACATACGTTTTCAAAAGTCAGAACCTAGCCTAAACCTAAACATTCCGAACAATATTGCAAGGCACGTATAAACTACATATTGTATAATAAAAATAAAAGATGCATTTAATACAGACGAAAACCCAATATTAAAAATTGGGAGGAAAATCTCAGGAGTTTTTTATTTTTATAACAAATCTTGTCTCTTCCATCTGTCTCCTCTTCACTCTGTTATTTTACTGCTATATTCATCTAAGACTGTTCTTTTTCTACCAGTGAAATGTTCACTGGGTGTTTGTGATTGAGGGGTGAACTGCAGCAGGCAACTAATTCACACTGACATTAAATGATTTTTCCCGGTAGGGGCAGAGATTGAACTCAAATCATCAAATGGATCTCCCCCCCTCTTGAACCCTGTTTGTGGTTGTTATCTGGAGCGTTATGAAAAGTAGCCTCAGGCCACCAGCCAGAGTGTTAGAAGTGGAGCGTCTGCGTTTGTACTTAGCGGAATAACAAAAGTTGGTCTGATTAGGAGAGCACAAGTGGAAAAAAAAACACAGACCAAAGTGCACGATGTAAACTCACAGTAGGATGAGAGCATTTTTCACAGCTTTTACCTAATAATTGTAAGTTTTACCAGTGTTTCTGCTTCTGAGCTCAGCTGAGTGACAGCTTGGCCTTCAAAGCAACACCTATTCATTTAGATTCTCTGAGACAGTTTTAGTTGGACAGCAGCTGAACTTTGTTTTTGGCTGTCATCCTGGCCAGACTGTCTGTACTGTATATCTGAGTGCCATTTGTTCCTGACAGTTCTGCCCCAGAGGCACTGCTGCAAATTCACTGATTAAAAGTAAACGTGACATGTCCTTCACCTGCTACACTGAGTTTTCTCTGCCCGATCGCTGCGTCCATAGACATCTGATGAGACATGGCTTGTTTTTGTGATCAGTCTTGCCTAACGTGAAACTGTCTTCCCAACCTTTCCATCTAATACTTCACAGGTGCTTCTGTTTTATTCTAAATCAAAAATTGTTGATAAATGATAACCATTGGTTGAACTTAAACCTGCATATAATCCTACAAAATCTATGGTTGTGCTAATGTACCCATAGACTTAAAAGCAGTTGTCATTTTTAAACAATAAACTATTCACTTTATCTCTAACTGTATGGTTTATTTTTCCGTTATCCTCCATGTCTCCCTCCTTCCCTCTCCTCAGTACCGTATCCCACCGCCTTCCCCCCGCCTCACCCTCCAGCCACAGCATTGCCGGAGCCTCGGGGGTGTCTTCTTCGGCCTCCACACCCACCGCCCGTCTTTCTCGGGGCTCCACAGTGAGAAGCACTTTCCATGGTGGACAAATTAGGGACCGCAGACCTCCCTCTGTCGCTCCCCCAGCTTCTCCAACACCATCTCATGATGCCAGTCCGCTGTCCCATACCCGGACCCGGGCCACAAGCAACCTGCTGAGCAAAATCACCTCTAAGTTGACTCGAAGGTAAGAGGAGAAGCTGGGACAAAAGTAGACAAATATGAATGGACTCCTTAGTTGATCTGATTTTGTTACAACTCTTCATATTGGGGGGGAGGGTTAAAATAGAGAAACAGGAGGTTAAATAGATGAATTAAACTTATAGATTATCTGCAGTTTTCCACATCATTCTTTTTGAGTTATTGTAAAATTTGATACCGCAGGGTTGTCACTGGACGGTTCGGCTGGCCCATGTTCTAAATACCTGTACATAAGGATCATTAAGCTAACCGCACTGCCTTTCACCGTCTCTTCCTTAACAATTACTAACGTATCTGCCTTTCTTCTCTAATAATAAAGCTTAACAACTACCATCAGGCTCTGTCCTTCTGGATCTCAGACCTGGGTCTTACTTTGTCAAAGCAGTTTCTCTCTGTTTTTGTTCAAGTCAGCAGCCATACAATTCCTGTCCATTAAAACAACCGAGCATGTGGTGTTAGAAATCTGTACAAGCTGATGATCGATTCTTCTGAAGTAAATGTATGTAGATACACAAAGGCCTGGCTCCTCCATGTGGGTTTTTTTTTTTTTTTTTGCATAAAAAATTGTTTTTTACTTATTTTAAAGTTCAATCACTATCGTTAGGTTCAAGCATGACTTGCTTTTAATGGCAATGAGAAAAATCACTCCTTTTAATTTATGTCACACTCAAAATATATGCATTGATATTAAAAGACCAATCAAAGCCCAACTGAAAACTTACCCCTGACACCCTGCACCCTATTCTTCACTTTTTTTTTCTTTTTTTTTTTAGCAAAAAGTAGATTTTTAAACGTCCTACAAGCATTCCTGAGGGTACACTGATGATGGTGACGGCTGCTGACTGCGTACCTTGACCTGCAGCAGAAACTCTTCGCAGCTTTGACTCACACTCCTGTATCTGTTTGTGTAGCCTTGGAGACTGATCCCAATCCAATTGTATTTATTGTACAACCTAATTTTTCCGTGAAAGCTCCAGCTGTATAATTTGTGAAAAAAAAATAATAAAAACTTTCTTGACCCAGGTCTGTCGATCAGGGGATCTAAACTTTGTCTTTCACAGTCAGTTCTTCTTGGCTGCTTATCAATGCTTTACCTCTCTGTTTGTTTGTTTAGTTCTGTTTCTAACAAACTGATCTTTTTTTTCTGGCAGTCATGTGCTCCTCTCCTGTCTTTCTTTTTATCCAGAACAATAGAGCACAGATTTTTAATTTGTTCCTGTCGTTCTCTTCTACCTGTGCTTTTTCCTCATCTTTCACTTCTGTTGGATTCCCTTCTTACTCTCTCGTTGCTTTTCGTCATTGTCTCTGACTCTCTGCTGTTATTTTTCCACTCCTCTCATCCTTTCTTCATTTCCTTATCTTCTTCCTCTCTGCTCCGATAGGGTCACTCTTGACCCTACTAAACGTCAGAGCTCAAACAAGTCCATGTCGGGCTGCACCCTGCCACAGGGAACAAAAACAGTTAGTAAGTCTTCCTTTCCCATGTTTTCTGGCTGCTTCTGTCTGTCTATGTGTCTATGTCTGTCTGTCTGACTGTGTCTTTCTGTCTGTCTGACTGCTTGCCAGTGCACCAGCATTTCCTCCACTACTACTCTGCTCTGTATTCCTGCAATATTTATCTGAGGTTAAGCTTCTGTACAGGCAGAAACGTAGCCACTAAATATGACCTGCAGCTTCCTGGTTTTTGGTGAAACTGCTCAATCTGAAGAGATCTGGAATGAAACAAGTCGACATTTGAAAAAAGAAAAGTGTTTTGTTGTAGCTATTCTATTAACATGCTGATTTTCCCACCTCAAATAAATGAGCCAAAGAATGTCTATGAATATTACAATACACTGCAAATTGTTTATCAAGGCAACTGAAACACATTCTTTCTCTTCTGCACGAATGTCCCTCTAACAATTTGATGTTTTTTTGGCTGCTGCACATTAATCATACTTGAGTCTCCAGTACATTGTCAAGGTCCTGTTTTATTTCCAGTCAGACATCATAGTTATGAGTTTCTTCCTGTAAAGAGGCTTGATCTCAGTCAACGTACCTTTCATCAGCTGTCTGTCTGTGCTCGTCTGCGTCTCCTATATCTGCTCTTCATTCTTTCGTTCTCATTGGCCGTCGGGATCACGGCATTAGTATATACTTCTGTGCAGAGCATAACCAAGAGTGTTGGTCTTGGATTGTTGTCTCATTTTTATAGAATGTTCTCCATTTCACAAACACAGATGTGAATGAAAACTTCCTGCATTTTGAGAAAAATGTCGGCTCTTGAAACGGGTTTGGTCAGTAGTCACCAGGCCTGCAACCTCATGTATTAATAATTAGAGTTATATTTCCAATTTATTTTGTGACAATAGGTCTTTTGATTTACTGTTTATAAAAGCAGTGGTTGCCATCTGGTGGCAATCTGAGGTACTTAAATATTTCAAGGTTTTAAGGAGTTTGTGAGGCCAACAAATTCATTTGTCAATTTTTATTTTCTGAACTCTGTATTTACCCTAAAGTAATTACATGCTTTAATGAGAAAATATTTTAATTGGGAGATGAAATATTCTCTAGTTTGTTGACTACTTATTAGGTCATTAGCGTCTCAACCTAAATACGCTTCACTTACCGTCACAGGGAAGGAAACAAACCGAAAGATTTACCTTTTGAAAATGCTTATCCTTCCATCCCCAACAGTCCCATACTGCATTGGTGGAGGAGAGATACTCTGGAGTATGTGGATTTATTGCAGCCTGACTTTTCTAGTCTGAGACAAGTAATCATCACCACGTTTGCCCATGCTGTTAACAAATCAGTGGTGCTGCAGAAGGACCGTGGGATCTCAGGGGGCTGGAGATCCAAGACTGTGTGTGTCTCGGTCTGTGTGTGTCTCGGTCTGTGTGTGTGTGTACTGGGGGGTTGGGAATTGGCCGTTTTACTGATGTTTTTATACAAGCTAAAGAATGAAAGCATGTTATAAGAAACACAAACAGCATCAACACAGTTTGAATGAAAACGTACTTTTCAGCATTACTGTGACTTCACCTACTTTCATTAGGTTTATTACGTAGTTTCTCAGTGTTTTACACACACGTTACACCCCTTTTATTGTTCAATTTATTGTTGTTGTTAAAGCCTTTTAGAGTCCAAAAAATATATTTTGTTTCTACACATATTCTCCTGAAGACATTAGGGAATAAGAGATAAATCAGGACTCTTTAACATTCTTCAGGCCTCAAACTGTTGGGTTTGAGATGGAGCAGGAACCCCCTAATATACAAAGTGTAGTACATTGTAAATACACCTTGTTTTTTGCATTTCAATACTAAGTTTAAATAATAAAGCATTTCAAAATATTATATTTAAACTCATGTAAATGCAGTGAGATGTTTGATAGGACCACTGATGATATGTTGCAGTCATGAAAATGTGGATTTAAGTCACTGAAATTCAGTGTCTGTCTTCTCGGTGTGTAACTTCTGCCCCCTGACTTCACGTCTGATCCTGTGAACTGTCACATTCTCAGTGTAAATTAGCCTTTGTATTCTAAAATGAATAAGAGGACATGAATATGTAACTGTTCCCTCTTTGTTAAAAAAAACCAAAAACATTTATTTGAATGGATTAATTCACGTAAATGTTCATGGCCATAAAATGCTGCGTAAAGTTAGTCTTTAGCCTACGCTGACACTGTAAGAAGTCTGAGCCAAATATAAAAGAAGGTGCAGGTGTAATAAACACCTCAGTTGTCCTGTGTGAATGACTGATGTGTCACTGCAGCTTTTAATCAGGATTAGTTGTGTAAGCAGGATTTATGCTTCTCTTGGACCTTGCTGTACATGGGTAGGTGGAAGCAGATTTTAGTTTTATTTTCCTGTTTCTCAATGCCGTGACTTCTCCAACAGGTAATGTCCACTTCATATACAGTCAGAGACCCTCAGTCCAGTTGTTTATATAACGAACGGTTCATCCTTTTAATGGTGACGGGCGTCATGTGATCATATCATAAAACCTGTTGGAATGAGGTTCCAAACCGAACTTTATGTCCTGGAGAACGTTTGTTTTCTTCATACATTAGTGTTGACACAGAGAGTATCTGAGTGATTATCTGCCTGGA